ATCCTGAGAGGAGAATGGAGAAGGGATTGCGGCGTGGCCATCCCCCTTGGGAGATGATTTCTCGCTTTCTGTCTCTCTGTCTCTCTTTGTCTACCTGGCGAGCACAGGCACCCTATAGCAAAAACCTCTAAAAAAATACATAAAGTCATCACCTACAAGTAGGGATCCCTGTCTACAGGAACAAGGGCTAAATGCAGGCAGGATGTGAGAAGACACTGAGAATGCAGGAGCTCTGAGGAGGACCCAGTGATGCCCACTCTGTTGTCTTTTCTATAAGTAACATAAGGACCTCTGCTGATCTGCTCTGGACCAGGGACCCAACCATTCTCAGTGGAGAGTTCAAGAGTTAGGGGCAAGTAACAGGTGACCCTGGTTCAGCTCCATGCCAGATCACAGCCTCACTGGATTTGGAGGGCAGAGAGCCTTTGCCTGACCCCAGGGTCAGATGTCTCCCAGGCACCTACAAGACACTACTGTCCCTAAATTCCTTCTCTGCTCCCACACCCAGCCCCTCACAACTGTAGTCAGGGCTGGCCCGTGAGTAGACTGACCACCCTCTATACCCTCAGCCGCTGAGCCTCAGCTTCTGAAATGGGAAGGTTCTGAGAGGGTTTTAAAAATACCCTGCCTAGGGACCAGCAGTTAGTGTAGTGGCTATGACGCTGGACTCCCATGGACGCGACCACAGTTCGTGTCATGGACCCGGTGGCTTAAACTCACACTGGGCGCGTGTGCATGTGTGCCCAAGATCTTGAGGGGAGAATGGAGGAGAAGGGATTGCGGCGTGGCCATCCCCCCTGGGGGGTGATTTCTTTCTTTCAGGCTCTCTGTCTCTCTCTGTCTGTGTGGTGAGCGCACATGCCCTATAGCAAAAAAAACTCTTCTAAAAAAAAAAAAATACCCTGCCTGACACCTACAAAACCAAACCTGCCTCTTGGAATGTGGCCAGGGGGAATGTTTTTCATGTAAAGGTCTCCAAGTGGTTCTACCTGAGATTACTGAGCCCTGGTCACATCTTGGGAGGTGGGTACCACTGTCAGGAATCACTTCCTTAGAAAGTCCTGAGAGGGCCCAGCAGATGGCGTAATAGTTACGTTGCTGAACTCCCATGTAGTTCACTGTGGTTCAAGTCCCAGAGCTGGTGACTTAAACTCACACTGGGTGTGTGTGCATGTGTGTACAAGATCCCAAGAGGAGAATGAAGGAGAAGAGATTATGGCATGGCCAGCCCCCCATGGGAGATGATTTCTCACTTTCTGTTTCTCTCTGGTGAGCATATGCGCCCTAAAGCAAAAATCTCTCTCTAAAAAAAAATGTACTGAAAGACATCTATAAGCCATGGAAAGCACGAACATGCAGCAAGCACTAGATTAACACTCACTCCCCTCTCATGGAGTCTTGGTCTCAGACCAGGAGACTCTCTACCTCCCCTTTCTCCTCTCCTTTTTTTTTTTTTTTTTTTTGACAG